GTAACCAAAAAATACATGTAAACAGATGACATCTCCCTAATGATCACAGGAAAAAACTTCAAGAACCTGGAACAAGGTCTGACAAAGGACCTCACTACATTGAGCACTTACTTTCAGAGCTGGAGACTCAAATTAAACATCACAAAGACAGTCAGTAGCACCTTCCAACCCACCAATGAACTCACCAAAACAACACTGAATGTCAAGGGTGCAACAAACTCCATCCCTTTTAAAAGCCACCCAAAGTATCTTGGAGTCACCCTTGACAATACCCTAACCTACAAGATGCATCTTACCCAACTGGCAGCCAAAGTACAACTTGCAACAACCTGCTCCATTGACTAGCTGGCTTCAGATGGTGAGTTAACCCCACCGTATTTCAGACATCCACCCTGGCACTGGCATACTCAACAGCCGAATCATGTGCTCCAGTGTGATGCAGAAGTGCCCATACTCACAAAGTCGACAGCACACTCAAAAATAGCATGTGACTCATATCTGGCTCCATCTACTCTACCCCTACATCACAGCTCCCATTCGTCAGCGGTATTGCTCTCCCTGACATTCACCCTGATCAGCAATGTCTCTGCCTCCTTTGCCATGCTGAACTAGACCATAATCACTACCTACATCAGCACATCTACTCAGACCCTCCAATAGGGCAGCACCTCCAATCTAGGAAACCCTTCATTGCCCACCTGCACCACCTGTACTGTATTTCCAAAGGTTCTTCCCCACACAACTGGGCTGCACAACTATGGGGAGAACGATGGGCCTCTGAGAACTGCAGACTCAAAACATTCATCCCAAACCCCTCTGCAAGACCTCCCAGCTTTGATTTAGACAAACTCTCCTGGGTCCACCTCAATAGACTCTGAACTGGTTATGGCCACTTATGTCATAACATGCATCAAATGGGCTTGACACCAAGTGCCACTTGTGAATGTGGCGCCCCCTCACAGACCGCAAACCACATAGTTACTGAATGCCCTATCTTCCGTTACCCTGGAAATCTCAGTGCCCTTGACAACCCATCTTGATCCCGTCTCAGCTCTGTCCAATGTGAAATATGATTCTAGTACACTGTTTTTGTCATCCAAAAAAAAAGTTGGTCTAATAAAATATATTATATTTAAACAAGGAACCTTGTCTGCCTATGACCTTAGACCAACATGGCTACAACCAACACCCCTTATACCATTCTTTAACTCAGAGGAGAAATGGCATGCCCTTCCCAAGTACCTTGCAAAGGTTTCCTATGGCCTAGCATGTTGGATGCTGAATTCATGGATACAAATGCTGAATTCATTTGCAGCTATTGACAGATTTAATTTATATTAATAAGTTGCTGTCTTATTGTTGCTTTCATCCTAAATATCAAACATCCACATTCACCCATATCCATAGCTAAAAACATTCAGATTCCTTAAATTTCAGAAGGAGAGATTTTTCTTTCTTTTTTTTCCTAGATTACCAGATAATGCAATGATTTCTTTTTAGGTCAATTTCTTATAGAAAAGGATACCGTTTATTTAGTGAGGAAAGGCTATATCAATGTTTCATTTCTAAGATGTTTGTTACTATATAACAATTAAAAACTATACCATTGTTATGGAAAGTACACAGGTACACAGTGCATCATAAAATAATATTTCATGATCCATGACAGCGTATGTACTTAAGTGGTGCATGGTATTTAGAATGGTCTGAATACTGATTTACATTTCTAAGTGTCTTTCAACATAGAGTAGGCACTTTCAGTGTGGAAATCTGCAGGGAGTGGGAGATGGAAAGAATAATCATGTCACATTTAAGCACGTATGATTCGTTTCCATAGGCAAAGGTTAGAGATTAACATATTCAGAGTTTAGTTCAGCAATAAATGAAGACTGGTTGGGGTACTAAGTTTCTGGGGGAAGCATTGGCTACTGTGTACAGCAGCAGCCTCTTGTGGTCTAAGAAAAGATATTAAGTAGCATTTATAAGCAGGGGTGGAAATATGTTTTTTAAAAGCATGTATATACATATTTAGCTATTTGACTCAATTCTCAATTCAACACATTAAAAAACAGATGCTTTTAAAATGATCTGCTGGCAATATGCTTGTTAAAATCTGATCAGTGAGAATATTAAAATTCATTATGCATTAATTAACACATTATATAAAAGTAAAATGTTTTTGTTTCATCATTTTACAAAGAATTATAGTAAATGCTGAATACCAGGGAGTTTTTGCCTTGGTCTGTGTTGCTGAAAAGAAACTAAATTTATAGGATTATTATTAAATTGATGACATTTTCTGTCTTCACTCTTGAATTCAGTTGGCAGATGTTTTCAAGAACAAAAAATTCTGTCTTATTACAAAACATATTAAGCAGGTTTTTCTGCCATAATGTTTGACATGATGTTTATTGCCCAGACCAAATCAATCCCTTTAACAAGCTTTAAAGTATGCCAGCAAGTATATTATTTCGTAGTTAAAGAAACTTGCAGCATGAAACAATAAGTACTTTGATCTCTCAAGCTCTGCTCTTAATACACTACACAATTTGATAATTAGCCATTTCTTTTTATATGCATCTGGTAGGTAAAATATATTTCATTTTGCAATCAGCTTAGGGTCTTTTTGCTCTTACATTGCTCCTATGTATTTTGCTTATTTGCATATGTTAGAAATTAAAAAAAAATACTTGAAAGAAATGTACATTTGAAAAGGAAGTAGGTAAGGAAACTAGCTTAAATAATCAAGTTAGATTTTTTTAAATCTTGAAAATACTGGATATGTAAGTTAAAACATCACTCTGGCAGCTTAATTTGTTCAGCCAGCACTTACTCATCAGAATACTGTAGGTCTCAGTGACCCTTAGAGAGTATAACTGGAATTGTCTATTCCCACTAATTAACAGTCTTCAACAGTTGCTCCAATTCGCATGGCACAAATTTTCCTTCAACATTAGAAATTCATGTCTTTTCTTATTACCTATTTGTACTTCAATACATTTATTTTCCATGGCCCACATGAGAAAACCTTATTTTTGCATTAATTTTGGGGCATCTTTATACCTCCCTCCATATCAGTCTACCCAATGGAAAAATGGATATGACAATTTATTCCTGTCTCACAACCGGGGTCTGCAAAAAAAGCCTTTGCATGACATGCTACCGAAGTAAACTGTCATTCTATAGTATTTTCGGAGAGTGACAAAGAAATGTAGTTTTCTTTTTTCATAATCCCATAGAGTAAATAGCAAATGTCTCTACACTGATGTGTTGAACAAAATGTGAAGCAAATTGCCAGACTTCAGAGTCAACAGCATCAGAGCCTATCCTACTTGAAATCAATTCAGTAGACACAGGAATGGACCCACAATGTATGCTATGTAGTTAGACTTATTCTGCTTTTTCCAGATTTTTTTTTAAAAAGGAAGTTTTTACAAATACAAAGTTTTGAAATATGTATTCATTGGCCAAGAGAACAGTGCATCTTGCAATTCACATGTGCTCTGGGCCAAGCTGCTCCAAGTTAAATTTCATGCCCTGCCATGCAAAGCAGCCATATGTATAAAGATATCACAGATGAAAAAGAATGGTGAAAGTGTCCTTTAGAAGTAGTGCAAATTCTAACAGCCAATGCCAGATTGCTGGCACAAGTCTTAAGAAAAAACCCGCCTCTGGACAGTATCACAACATCCATTAACCCATGGGCACACTCTCCAGGTGAACAATAATGTCTCTCAAAGAGGCTGGGATTGGTTGATGGGCAGACTCAAAAAAAGAAGCAGCGAAGAAAAGCAGTGCCCTTTTGGTTTCTTTCTGTGAACATGTCCTCATTGTTCTGCACCTCCAACTAACAATTTATTTCCTCAAAGTACAATAATGTTGCTTGCTAACGCTTTTCATGGCCAAGGTATGATAGTTTTAACTAGACAGTAGAGCTTTTTCTTCTATAAATTATTATTATACTAAACCATAATTACAAGGAACACAAAATTAAAATTAACATGATTTTGACATCTATTTTGCTGGACTTTTATTTATTTCACACACACGTTTTTACTATTTTAACTACACCATGGCATTTCTGACATGTTTTACTGTTGAATAAAAATGCTAACTTTCATAATAAGGGCTTTGAAAACTGCATGAATCTGTCTAGAATGTATAATGCATAGTATGTATATGAAGTAGAATGTGTCAAAGTGCAAATAATATTGTTTGTGCCCCCTGCAGAATTAGAAATCTTTGGGTAGCACTGTTATAACGATCCCATGCTGCTAGCATTACAAAGTGCAAAGGTTCACTGAGTAAGAAAAGAGCAAGGGACAGAGTTTCCTCATTACACCATTCTTGAACTATTCTAGCTTAAATATTTATTAAGATATTAATAACTCTCTCTCTTTATCTGCCTTCAGAAGTTTAGCTGAAATACAATGGATGGCTGCTCATATGAAAAAAATACGTTACCAGAAAAAGCTGCTACCATACAAGATGAACACCAGTATTTGCACAATATACTATTAATTCAGTAGGTATATGTTAAAAAAATTATCAGGCCATAATTATTGCCTCACAAATATATAGAATAATGTAATGCTACAAATGCATGCATGGGAAGTTATATTTTTCCTAAGCTGTACTAGAGAGTGTTTCTTATGTTCACACTGACTCATAAAATCTTTTTACAAAGTCTTCTTTAAATTAGAGTTTGTCTGGTGATATCCAGTATGCTCCTCTGGGGGTTATTTGAAGTTCCATTTTGAAATTAGAAAGGAACGTTTTGTAACATTTTCAAAACTTCACATGCAATAAATGACAAAAAATATCAATAGAAGGAACAGTCCCTCACTTTGAACAAACTCTTGAAAGTGGTATAAGTGACTGAGGTTTCTCTATCTTTTTAAAAGAAAAGCATAGCATTTATTAATCTAAATATCTCCATTAATTTTGAATCCAAAACATAATTTACCAAATAAGGGCAAGCTACATTAAAATGAACTTACTCTGATATACAACTGCACAGTTTCTTTTTCTTTTTGCGGATTCCGATACTTTTCGTAGAAGTCACGTCGCTTCTTTGTTTCCTTTTGGATTTTATCTTTTCTTTCTCTCTTTTCTGCAGGTTCATCTGAGCTATCAGAAGATTGCTGTACTTGGGCTTTTGTCTTTTCTACTTCAATATAGTTCTCATTGGGATTCAGTACTATTACTCCATAGCCTTCCTGTTTTGGAAAAGAAGAAATAAAGGAAGAATATGAAAGGAAAGATTTAATCTTTGAATTTGCTTTCAATTTATTTTACCATTCTTCATATAATGAATGTAAGTGATTTATAAAGTAGACCAAGAGCACAGTTTCAATGGTAATATTTTAAGAAGCATTGTGAGTATTTCATTTTTGTAATTAAAGGGATAACTATCCATGGGTGGCATTTGTACATGCCTCTTTCTCTGTTTTTATTTGTATGAACTGGTTTTACATTCAAAATACTTTTAAATATGTGTTGGTATTAGCTTTACATTTACAATCAAATGTTATCTCATGAGATTTTTTTCAGAAAGTACTGGAACTAAAAACAAAAGATGTTAAGAACACTGCATAAATGTTGAGCATAAAACTTTATGTCCAGCCAATAAAACTTCTATAATAGAAAGATTTTTTTTTTAAACAAATCCTCTGGAAACTATTCAACACAGCTTAAAATAGTAACCCTCTTTTGTATAGCTGACCACCAGCATACAATGCATAAACTGATAGCGGTAGTAACAATGAATCAATATCAACACAGATTCAGTGATACTGCTTACAAGTCAACTCTGTTAGAGTAAAATGGCTTTTAAGTACCACTTTAAAACTGTTTTAAAACTTCATTGGGATTAAGTTACATACTGTGATCTGGAAACCCAGAGGAAACCTGTACTTGTAACAGGTCATGTTAAGCTGGATTTTTGTCGTTCACAAAATGAAAATGTTGAAAGATACAAGAATGTATATTAAGAGAAATAAAATGCTGAATCTATTTGTTTTCATATAATTTAAAAATAACAACCGATTTTGTATATTTGAGAATAAGAGCATTTTAAATGCTGGGAAATACTGCGAAGCAGACAAAGATTTAACAGAAAAATAAAGTTTCTATAGGCTCCAAATTCAACCCAAGCTGTCCATTATAAAAAATAAACTTTAGAAATAAAGATTATATTTTTAAGTTATTCTCTATCAGTTATCTATCATTATTTCAGCCTTTTTTATTTAAGCCCTAATTTTTTCACTCCGACCAAGTGAAAAGATCAAAGAAGTCTACATACCTAGCTGACCAAAGTAAACCAAATCTACACCAACAAAAGATACTTTATTTGGTCTTGCTTTATTCCAATCTGTATAGCTATTCAAAAATCTTGTAATGCATTGTGATCACTGTCAGGTAGACAGATTGTCACTTGGTGATTTTCTACAGTTGGACACACTCGACTAGTTATTAAAATCACATTTGAAGGAAGTTCCTACCCCTCTTCCTTGTGCCTGTACAACTTTTCACGCCCTTCTCAAATTTCTGCTATAACTTCTCCTCCCACCAAAACTAACTTAAAGGACACTGTTGCACTCTGCTAAACAGGGTGAAATAGAGGCATTCAGTACACTGTCTCTGGTGTAAGGAACATAGTCAAAAAAGGTCACCATAGGCCAAAGAGAAAATTGCCTCCTTACTAGATTCTGTACCATGAGTAAGTGGTCTCCTGTCATGTTTCTTCCCTGCCCTCTCTACTGAGTGAATTGAACTTAAAAAGAGAGAGAGAGAGAGAGAGAGAGAGAGAAAATAAGACAGCACATCTTGGAATTTAGCTATCCCATAATAGGAATAATCATATAAAAACTAATAGGACAAAAGAATACTGTGCAATACTTGCAGAAAAAGGACAACTTAAAAATTAAATTTATACATCTAAAACAAATCTAGTCCATAAACCTATGTTAAAATATTAGTACATTAGGAACATCAAATGAAAGAACATTTTTCATGCTATTCTAACTATAGGGCAGTAAAAAATAACTAAGTTTTCAAAACTTATTACGTGAAGTCTTTTGGTGATTTTAGTCTGCAGTGTAGAGTAAGTAGTTTGCTGCTCATATTCTTGACCTGTTTGTTTTGAACACATTCTGTGTATTGATTCTTTTTGGTCTCTATACAATGCCAAATGCAAAATTCATGTATTTATTATGGTTTCAGAAGTGTTACTGAAATTTGAAACCCTGTGTCCATTTTAAGCTGGCCACCAAACAGACATATAAATCATCAAAGAAGTAGAATTTGTCTAAGTTATTGATTATGTAACTGAAAATTACATGACTCATTTGTCCAATTTTATGAGGACACAATGTCAATTTTTCACAGAGACATGAACAGATGAAAAATGATTCCATTTTCAAATTCACTACCACGTAAATCAATTAAAGGATTTTTATCAATTAGATTTAAGCTGCATAACATATCTCCCTTTAAACTTTTAATATTTTTTTATTTTTTCAAATGTAGAAGGCATTTTTTTGTATCATTGCTATAATAATTGATAATTGAAAAAAGTCTCTCAGCTCTCAACACGTACTATTTGAAGATACTATTCTAATATTATTTTGCTTATAAAAAGTATTATCTATATTCATTTTCCTATGGTTACCTTTTTCCATGATCGCTTCAATCTAAGCTGTGACATCAGAATGAGCATCTAATTTAACATACATTGCCTGCACACATGAAACAATGTAGAAATGCAATCTAACATAACTGCACCAGAATTTAACCTCTATCCACCTGTCCTAAACCATACAAACCTACTGCACCAAAAGGTAATCCTCATCCTTCAGTAAAGACTTATCTATGAAAACAACGTGAGTTCTGATTTCATTCAATGTCTGAAATATTTATGTCATAAGAAGGATAGATCTTCAGTATCAAACTTTGCACAGACGTTCAGTTTTTAAAATGTAAACCAAAAAGTGAAATCAGAAAATTATGACTAGATACAAAAGACCATACCCTCCAGTGACTTGCGCAAAACCCTATGGATTGTACCAGGTACAAGACAATGCAGAGCTAAACAAATAAAAGCTTAAGCCATTAAAAGACAAAACTGTTTTTATCTAACAATAATAATAAACCATACTCTTTATGTTAAAAACTTGTAATAACTAATGTGTTTAAAACAAAGACAAACCAATACTAGTTCAGTTTAAAAAGCTCTTTGGAGTATAACCTATGTTGACAGTAATATCAATAGAAAGGTAGATGCTAATCTTACTTTCAACCACAGTGGGCATATAGTGTTATTAAAATATTGAACATGGGTGAACTCTCTTGTAAATAAACACACGGTGCCAGGAGGCTGTCTTTATTTGTAAAAAATTAGAGATGTTATCCATGTACATAATAACGGAGTGTTTTTTTTCTCTTTCTCCACTCTGTACAAAAGGAAGCAAGTCCTCTGCTGATTAAAAAGTTATTTTACACTTTGCAAACTGCTGGTTTTTTACTCATTTATGATTAAACTATTTTAATATTTTTCTGTCTGAAATGGAATAATCTCCATAATTCTTCAACTAATTGATAGAAACCAACTTCAGCATACAAATATATCTCAGAGAAGAAATATGCTTGTGGTTAAAAAAGTCCAAGTTTGTTTCCACAGTCCAGTAATACATCTAGGATTAGATGTGATAATCAAAACTGTTATTGATAGGTAGGCTTCATCCTTTATGATTATGCTTTCAGATTAAAATAGGCAACTTTAAATAAAAGCGTTATAGGATTTTTCCTAAATTCTAATGTTCTGGATAGGTTTATTAAGAACTACTAATCCATGGACCCAAGTACTCCCTGAGGTCTAAGAGTGGTAAAAGAAGACTCTATGCAGGCTCTAGTTTCAAGTCTATAAATACAATTACAAATATATAATAGCTCATTTATCATTTATTCAGAAAATGATAGCCAATTGGAAAGCAGGCTAAAGCAGACACGTGTTGAAAAGCACAAAGAATTATGAATAGGAAACCTCTGTAGCAACAGCCATGTCGATGGAGAAGTGCACTGGTCAATGAAACATAGCAATTTGAAATAGGAAGGGTATTTCTGTCCTTTACTGGAACTTTATGTGAGATTTTTTAAACTGTACCTATATCCACAATAACTTAGAGGGTTAATCCCCAATAATATAGTAAAAAATACTTGGGGTATATTCTGAATCTTTTAAAAATATCTTGTTCCTGGCCAAGTGAATAATGAGCTGAAAACATTCACTCCTGCATATTAATCCACAAAGATGGGATGCCATATGTGACCATAGAGGTCAGGGGCTAGAGTGGAATCTTTTGACCTATGTAACTATCTTTTTGGCCTGAATCTAAGGGTCTGTAAGAGATCATTTTCCCAAGCTTTATCAATCTGGCTTTTTAAGTCCAGAATTTTATTTAGACTGTTTGCAACATGATCAGAGTAATCCTCAAGGGAAATGTGATTCAAAGTGTTTAGATCTCTAAACGATATCTATCCATGGTTAAAATGGACATAGTAAGGTCCATTCATCTTTTTGAAAGATGTATGTTCTGTTTATTTCCCATCTTTTTCACGAGAAGGGTACGTATATGTCACTGTTGCAACATCTTAGGTGCAACAGTGGGATGAGGTCATGACAACCAATCAGAAGTCACTAGTGAAGCGTTAAAGTAAACATAGCTGTTGGAGATGCAGCTCAGCTTGAAAAATGCCCCCTCCATTATTTGAGCAATTTTCTCAAGACGTGACCTGAGACTGAAACGCCTGAAATGTCAGTTGACTCCGTTTTGTGTTTCCACCCAATGTGCATTTTGGCACTGCACCCTGCTAACACTTTGTAATATTTTCATCCCAGCTACACCTCAACTCCTAGCTCCCTGAATTCCAGTGCTGTGTCCAAGTGTGTAAAAATGCCGTGTTACTGCCAAACACACATTGTCCCAGCAAGTTTCCAACTTAAAATAGCTCATCAAGTTAGTCAGGAAAAGAAAACATGCCACAAAAAGTTTTTAGAGGACCACCTGTTGTCTATTATTTTTACATAGCACTTACTCATAAATCATAACACAGGGTAATTAATCAAGCTGTCAAAGAGAAGGTCAAAGGTTATGTGGGGAAGTCAGAAGGTCATGCATGGGCTGATAGAGGTCAGGGTCACACCGCATTCCTCATTATC